GGACTCCACAACGGAAGTGTGAAACGTATTTTCAAACTCTATCCCTGACAGCACCCTAGTTTTCTCAATAAAAAATCCATGGCGAGAGAGTAGCGGGTCTCCTGCCTCTAGAAGGAAAAACTGCAGGCTCTGCAACCAAGTCCCACTTACCGGGATTCTCGATTTCTGACAGTTCTCCTGCTTCAGAGTCTACAATGAAGATCTGCAGACAAGTCCCACTTACCTGATTCTCTATTTCTGAGAATAGATTAGGAACTTCAAGATGGACGGCCAGAAAAGAAGTTTAGATCAATCTGCTGAAATACAGGATGCTTCCAAAAAAACAAGGATTTGCTAGAGGGAAAAAAAAGAGATCCACATCCACGCAAACATGGTGTACACAGCGGAAGGAATTTCGGGCCATGTGCTAGTAGAATACAATCAACAGCTGTCCTTGGACACCAATCTGTTTTCAAGTTACTTCGACAGACTGCTGTCGCTGCCATGGCAGGGGAAAGGGAATGGATCAGACACGGGGGAGGAAAGAAGGAGGAAAACCACACTCGGGACCAGGAGTCCCTCTCCTGTGGCCCGGTCAGCCCTGGTGGTCACAGTGGGTACAGCAGAAGGAGAGACGGTCTCTACCTTCCCGCCAGAAGATTTCTCCCTGATCCAAAACACAGGGAACACGGTCACTAATGAATAAGTTGAGAGTAGCCTCCTGGAATGTAAGGGGCCTAGGGGAGTCAAATGACAAATTCAAATGGGCTAGAATGAAATCCTGGATGCACTTACGTAAGGTCCAGGTAATGTTACTCCAGGAGACTAAACTCAACGAAGACAAAATTGAAGAAAATAGGTGGAAGTGGCAGGGTCCCCAATTCTGGGCCCCGGCGGACGGCACAAAGGGGGGCACGGGAATTTTAGTCCACAAGGACCTGCACTCAACGATAGTGGATGAGTTCTCAGACTCACTGGGTCGTAGTCATGGGTCACAATTCGGATAGAGGAAACGGAATGGACTTTTGTTTCGGTGTATGCCCCGGTAGACAGACGAGAGAAAATCCAGTTTTTCGAAGTCCTACCAAGGGTACTCCCCAAAAACAGGAATATGGTCCTGGGAGGGGACTGGAACACGATCCTAAATCCGATCCTAGACTCTTCGGCAGCGGACCCCATCAGAAGTGACACCATGGCCCTCGGGGATTTCATTGAATGCATTGGAATTGATTGACCCCTTCAGGCAAATTCACCCTCTGAAAACAGCGTTCACATGGATCTCGCACACTCCAAGACAGGATAAGTCGTACACAAGGCTAAGACTGGATTTTTTCCTAGTTAGGGACAAGGCGGCAGAGTGGGCCATGGAGGTTTCCATGCCCTTCGATTCCATGTCAGATCACAGACCAGTGCTAGCCACATTCGTACCAGATGGTCACATAACTAGGGGAAAGGGTTATTACAGACTGAACACAGAAGTTCTCCAGGACAAGGGGTTGGTAACCTCTATTAAAGAGTCCTTAGTCAAACTTAAAAACCTGAGTAGATTTTATGAATCAGATCAGGATTGGTTGGAAGCAGCCAACAGAATGGCCGCAATGGATCTCAGCTTTGCCTCAAGAGTCAAAGCTTCAACCAAGCGGCAAAAGGAGGAGCAGTGTATTGCACACGTAGAATACGCGGAATCCAACATGGATATGATCCCTAAATTATGTGGATTTTGGTTGTCCTACAGAAATTTTTGGAAAGACAAGTTAGAAAACATTCAAATTGAAAAGGAAAAGGTTTGGGAAGAAAGGGCGAAGATTAAATGGCTGGATGTGGGGGATAGAATGAGCAAGGATAACTTCAAACGCTTATCAAGACAGAAGGGTTCTTCCCTAATCATTGAGCTTGATCACCCGTTCGATGTGTTTGAACCTAGAGCCAGGGACACTGTGACGCCCAAACCTCACGCCCAGCGCGACTTCCAGTTCGGAGTAGGACGGGGGCCCGGAAGTGCGTTAAGGGGTGTGCCAAGGATTTTAGGAAAGTGGGGGTGAAGTCCCAGGACAGAACTGAGATCTTCTGTGGCGGAATCAGGGACAGGAGTGCAATTGGTGAACGTCGGGTACTTAGGCGACTCGGGGGCTGTTGGTCGGGGAATTCCCGTTAGTGCCACGTGGCGGTCGATTCGGTCGCGGAATAATTCCGTCTTCCGCCGCGCGGTCGTCGCGAGTTTCGTCGCGACGCGCGGGGCCACTGGAGTGCAATGTAGTTCCAGGGGACCACTAGAAGTCGATGGCACGGGAGAACGAGCTGGAAAGGAGGGAAGGGAGTAGAAATACGAACAAAGCCCGGGTGGGTGAAGTAATGAGAGCGGGATTCGTACGGGATTTCCGCGCAATCGGGCTCGTCCAGTAGCGCAAGCCGGAGGTCTTCCGCACTTACTCGATCGTGTTCAGTTTGACAGGGGAACTCGGGATATGGCCGCAGGGGTCCCCACTGAG